GCGGGCGGGAGGGTTGCCAGAGGCACGCGGACGGGCGGACCCCGACGGGCAGTGATAGGCCTGTTCTCCACCACCAACACCATAAGTTGAAGAGGGGAAGGAGGAGGAAGAGGAGGAGGAGGAGGAGGAGGAGGAGGAGGAGAAGGACCCCCTCCCACTCCAACCTATGGTGGTGGTGGTGGTGGTGGTGGTGGTGGTGGTGGAAAACAGGCCCATCAGGTCGGGCGGACGGATCCTCACGGGAGGGTCGGGCAGGCGGACCCCGCAACGGGCGGGCCGGGCGGGCGGACACCCCGCAGCGAGCGGGTCGGGCGGGACACCGAGGCGAGCGGGCGGGCCTCGAGCAGACGAGGGGGCGGACCCTGGCGGGCGAGTCGGGCGGGCGGATCCCCACGGGCTGGTCGGGCGGGCGGGCCTGCACGGGCGGGTGTCGGGTGGGTGGAGCATCGAGGCGAAGTCCGCACATCGCGAGGAAGCCTCAGGCGAGGGCACGAGTCCTGAGCACACCGTGTGCGGCCTCGTGCGAGAGCGCGCGCTGCCCGGGCGCCGTCGCGGGCGCGGCGCGCTCTCCTCCGAGCGAAGGCCGCTCGGCGACATGTTGGCGGCAATGACGCTCCGGAGAGGCCCCGAGCCTGCGCGGAGGGCCCGCCGTCCCCCCCGGCCCAGCGGGGACCGTGAGGTTGGTCCCGAGCCTCTCGAGCCGCTCCGCCATGGCCTTCTCGTCCCCGACCGTCAGGCCCCGCGCGGCCAGGAGGGCGTTGGTGGCCTTCGGCAGCCTCACGCCTGCGGGGCGGCGCCGCCCCCCCGCCGCCGTGGAGCGCTGCTGAGACGAAGCGCCAGGACGAGGACAGATTCGGGGAAGGGTAAATCGAGAATCCTTGAGATCCTGCGGATCTGGAGGATGTCTCGGGCGCCGCCGCCTTCTCAGAGCGTTCCGGAACGCCCTGATGAGAGCATTCCAGAACGCTCTGGAACGGATTTATCCTCGTCCCAGTCCCGCCCCACCTGCCAGCAAACTCATACCTCTAAGACGAGGGCTCTAAGACGAAGGTACAGTCGAGACAGTTTCGGACCGGTGTAAATCGAAAATCTGAGAATCGGCGGGTTTGGGGGATGCCTCGGGCGCCACGGCCGTTTCAGAGCGTTCCGCAACGCTCTGAGAGCACTCCTGGACGCTCTGGAACGGAGTCATCTCGATTTCCGACCATGCCCCCCTCCTCTCCCCCCCCCTTCCCTTCCTTCCCGTGCGCTGGATGCTGGCATCATTGGACCGAGCACTCATCCGGGAACGAATGAGCCCATCCATCCATCCATCCGAGGCGTCCATCCATGCGGGCCCCGGGGCTCCCAGCAGCGAGGCCCAATACTGATCACGTAGACTCTGCCTTCCTCCTCCCCGGCTGCTCGCCCTCCCCTCCGCCGCACCCTCGGCGAGCGACAACGCACGCAACGCCCTTATGCTGTCTCTCCTCCACTTCGCTCTCCGGCTTTCCCTGCTTCTCCTACTAGGGAAACAGAACACAACACAAAAATGAACTTTTGGAGGTCCGCGCAGTTTTCTCAGATCGGCGCCGAATCCCCCTTGTTGGCGCGCGGAGCGCGCCAGGGGTTCGGCGCAAAAGGCGCCATCATGGGGGGCCCAGCGCGATCCAAGAAATCCGCGCGGAGCGCCAAAAAAATATGTTTAGGGCGTTTTCCTTCTTCGATCAATGGGGAACCACGACGAAGACCTCGCGTGTTTTGATGCCGTGTGTTGCTCTTCCATCTCCTCCCTTGCTCCCTCCACCTCTCCCATTCATTGTCCTCATCCTCCCCCCCATATTCCTCTCCCGCGTTCTCCCGCGTGCTGCTATGAACGACTCGCCACGAGCAGCTGGCTGCCATGACCTGTGCGCTCCTCCCAGGGCCCGAAAAGTCTGTTCCAACCAAGACGGCCCCCAGAGGCGTCGCTTCCGCAAACGCATGGACATAATTTTGAAAAGCGAGAGAACGCACGTGTCGTTCATGGAATGGGCTGGTGTTGTGGCGCGTGAACAGGCATTGCCAGGGGTCGTTGGGCGCTTGCCCGCGGAAGCTGGATTGAGGATCCAAATGTCTGGACGTCCTTGGCTCACCCTCCTCCCCCCCCCAAAAAAAACGTCCGGGCACCTGGATCCTCTGTCCTGCGCGGATCATGGACAAGGATCCGTGTCCCCCAATTGCATCCGTAAAGCTACCCCACCGATGCGCCCAGCCAGGAACCTCGCCTCGAGCGGAGCGCATCCTTCCCGAGAGGGGGCAGGGTCTGATGTTCCGCCCTGCTAGGCCTCGACCCTCCGCATCCCCCCTCTCGATCCGCGACTCCTCCTCGGCGCTTCTCGCTGCTCGATCCTCCTCCGCCTCCGCATCGATCCTCGATGACCCCATCCCGCTCGGTCCTCGATCCTTGATGCTCGATCCCCTTCCTTCCCCCTCCTCCTTCTCCTCCTCGATCCTCCTTCGCCTCCTTTTCCTCCTCGATCCTCCTTCGCCTCCTCTTCCTCGATGCTCCTCCCGTTCCTCATCGGAGCAGGCCTTTCTCCAGCCAGATCCGCTCGAGCTCGGCCGCCACGTCCGCATGCCCTTGCGACAAGCACTCGCGCACGATCCCGTTGAGAGTCTTGGCGACCCTCCTGCGAAGGCGCGGAGACGACGACGGCGGCTGCAAAGACGGCGGTGGCGACGTTTACGGCGACGGTAACCTGTTAGGTGTTTCGAACCTCCGAATGGCGGAAACCAATTATCTTTTCGACGCCATTCTTGACGGACTGGGGTCTCACAAATACTGGTGAAAACATATTATCTGCGTTACCCGCCGCACACCAACGACGACGACGGCGACGACGACGGCGGCGGTGGCGACGACGACTACGATAACAAATGCGACACCGATACGACGACAATTACGAATACGATTTCTCGACTACAACTCACGACTGCGATCACGACTACACTCACGATTAAAATCACCACTACGATCACGACTACAACCACAACCACTGATCCCAATTGCAGTCCTCACGGAAAAATATGCTCACATATCCTCTCGCGTGTGGGGTGGCCCTAAATTGATTTATCCCCCGGAAAAAAAAAGGATCCCCAAACATTATGCAGCCCGTCCAACAATAGAAGGGAAATAATCTCCGCCGAGACGGCGACGACGACGACGACGACGACGGCGACGACGACGACAAAGACGGCGACGACGACGACGACGACGGCGGCGGCGGCGGCGGCGCGACGACGACGACGACGACGACGACGACGACGACGACGACTGCGTCAATGACCGCAAGGAGCAGCAAGAGGACGAGCGAGAGGAACAGGGAGAGGGAGGAGGAGGAGAAAAAGGAGGAGCAGGAGATGGAGGAGGAGGAGCAGGAGGAGGAGGATGAACGAGAAAGAGGAGGAGGCGGAGGAGGAGGAAGAGGAGGAGGAGGAGGGAGGAGGAGGAGGAGGAGGAGGAAAGGAGGAGGAAAGAGGAGGAGGAAAAGGAGGAGGCGGAGGAAAAGGAAGAGGCGGAGGAGATGGAGGTGGAACGAGGAGGAGGAGGAGGAGGAGGAGGAGGAGGAGGAGGAGGAGGAGGAGGAGGAGGAGATGGAGGTGGAACGAGGAGGAGGAACGAGGAGGAGGAGGCGGAGGAGGAGGAGGAGGAGGCCGCCTCTCTCGCGCCGTCCCCGCGTGCCCGCCGCCCGGGTGTGCGGGCGCCCCTTTTGCGTAGGGAGGGGCCAGGCGCGACAGGGCAGGACGAGGCCAGGACGAGGATGACATCGGCGGAAGTCGGAAGCTGCGGGTGGGAGTCGCCGAGGTGGGAAGTGGGCATCAACAGCTGGCGGGTGCTGGGAGTCGTAGGCTGGAAGAGCTCGAGGTCGCGGTCATCAGGTGTCACGGACCCTGGGAGTCGAGCTCGGTGGAGGTCGAAAGCTGGGGGTGGGATGCTGGAGGTCGATAGCTGAGCGACGATCGAAACGGGTCTTACGCGAGATGACATAGCGACCTCACGGCGCGGCTTACGCGGGCCACCAGCGCGGCACGCCACATTGAAGACGAGGGCACTGACGCACGACCTTACGCGGGCAGCTAAGTAAGACGAATCCAGGACGAGGACAACATCAAGTGAGGATAAATCGAGAACCTCTGAGATCTGGCGGCTCGGGAGGATGTCGGGGGCGGCCAAGAGGATGGCGTCCAAGAGGGGGGGGTGGGGGGGGCAAATCATGGCGGGCGGCATGTGCGCAGCCTGGGGGAGGAATCAGGGACGTATTGAAATAAAAGAGGCACCATGAAATCTGGGGAGATATCATGGCCCCCGCCATGATATCCACCCCCCCTAGTCATCACACCCCTCTTTGCCGCCCGCGAGGATGTCTGGGGCGCCGCGGCCTTTTGAGGGCGTTCCGGAACGCTCTCAGAGCTGAGCGTTCTGGAGCGCTCCAGAACTTGAGCAGGGACCGACCGTCCCGCCATTCCCGTAGGCCTACCACGGAATTCTCTAAAACATTCCGGCATTCTTAGAGCCTGACCCCGATGCGTTGAAACAAGACGGTCTCAGCCAGAAGCGTTCTGCGAGCACTTCGTACAAACCACAACCTGTTGTCAGAACTTTCTTCGGTGCGCCTATAGGCAGGCCAGGACGCTTCGCCACTGCTTGTGGAACGGGCTTCTCCTCTCCTACAACCCTCGTCAAAAATAAACTGAGGGATTCTGTTTTCGGTGATTGTATGGTCAGCGCTACTTCAGTGCTGACGCTAGATATCTGACGTGGACGCAAGGGCTTCAAAAATCCGACGACCCCTCCGCAGCATTGAAGAACGCAGTTTCTAACAAGCGCCCGAGCAGATCGATCGTCGTGATTTCCAGCTGCGTTTCTGTTTATTTTTGACGAGGCTTGTAGCCCCGCCCGACGGGAGGGCCCTCGGGAGCGCCCCGAGTGGCGGGCGGCGGCTGCGCGCCCGGCAGCACCTGCGCGGGATCCGTCGGCGTCGGGTCGGGGAGTCCTGTCGGGTCGGAACGTGCGTCGGGTCGGGCTGCATCGGCACGCCGTCGGGACGTGCGTCGCGGGCTCCTGGGAGCCTCCGGGACCGGCGGGGACGGCTGCTTGACTGGCGGCACCCGCGCAGGCGGTGCCGTCGGCGTCGCAGCGGGGAGCCACGTGAGGGCTGGAACGTGCGTCGGGCCGGGCCCCCGTCGCATATCCCGGGAATGAGGAGGAGAGGGAGGAGAGGGAGGAGGAGAAGGAGGAGGAGGAGGAGGAGGAGGGAGGAAGCAGGGAGGAGGGAGGGAGGGAGGGAGGGAGGAGGGAAGGGAGGGAGGAGGGAAGGGGGATGGCCCCGCATTCCTGGCCCATCCGGAGCCCCACGAAGCCTGTGGGACAGGGGCCGGCGTGCCCCCGGGCGGCCCTGCCCCGCCCCCGCGCTCCCGTGCCGCCGAGAGGTGCGAGGGCCCGCGCCGAAGGAGTGTGGCACTTCTTCGGCGAGGGTGCGCAGCACTCCTCCTCCTCCTCCTCCTCCCTCCTCCTCCTCCTCCTCCTCCTCCTCCTCCTCCTCATCCTCCTCCTCCTTCGGCACGGCATCGGAATCGCATCGGCTCGGCTTTCGGCTGCCCTGGGATGCACCGCAGCGCTGCGCGGGCATCGGGCCGCACCATAACGTCGGCTCGTCGGAATCGAATCGGGATCGAGCCGGCCGGAATCGACGTCGAACCGGAGCGACCAGATCGGACCACACTCTGGGAGAGAGGGCGGCAACAGGAGCGAGCAGCCCACAAGAGGAGGGGCCCGGAATGGGGAGCGACGAAGAAAGAATGGAGGAGAGACTAAGGTGAGGTTTGGCGCTCCCAACCCCCAACTTGGTGGGCCTCTCGACGGGTCGAACAAACTATGGCGCAACTCGAAGATGTACGACGGGAGGCGCCCATCTTCGATGGGGGTGCGCCCGAAGAGCCCCCTGGGGAGGGCATCCCCGAGCGAGTTCCGCCATCTTCTCCAAACAGCAACTTGCTCGATGGAAAAAGACAGCACAGTGGGCAAGAAAGCGCCTGCAGGAGGCGGGAAATAAGGAAGGAAGGGCAGAAGGAGCACCAGGTGATCCATCAAGACCGAGTGCACGAGACAGCGACGGGCTGGAAAGAGCAGAGAAGAGACACAGAGAGAGACGAAGAAAAAGAGAGAGAGAGAGAGAGAGAGACGAAACAAACATATACGGAGAACGAGAGAGCGGAGACACTTTTACGTTAGCGGCGAGGCAGAGGTAAACTGCGCCAGCGGTCCCGCAAATCGGGGCGACCGAAGAGCGAACTGCCCAGCGTGGAAGAGGAGAGACCGCGACAGACAGAGCGCCCGCGGCGGCGGGGGTGGAGGAGGAGGAGGAGGAGGAGACGGATGAGGCGGAGGCAGAGGCGGAGGCGGAGGAGGAGGAGGCGGAGGAGGAGGAGGCCGAGGAGGAGGGGGAGGAGGAAGAGGAGGAGGAGGAGGAGGAGTTGGAGGAGGGGGAGGAGGAGCAGGAGGAGGAGGAGGAGGAGGAGGAGGAGGAGGAGGAGGAGGAGGAGGAGGAAGACCTCCACCCCGAGCGCGCAGGCGCGGCCAGCGTCAGGGCCGAACCGAAACGGGGTGCTTCGTGCTCGTTGTGTTCGCTTTCCCTCGTGTTGTCTTCAGTCCGCCTTTATCGGCGGTGGACAAGCCTCCCTTTAGTAAACCTCCCCTTAGTGAAAACGGCCTGGGACCGACACCGACGGACCTAGACCCGCAAAAATGACGGCCCCGACGCCCTCTCGCGAACCGAAAACGGGCCAGTTCCTCAATCGACGTGTCAAGGTAGGAGGTCTGTCCACCCCCGACTTTACCGCAAAACGGGGTCGAAATGAAAACGGCCCACGCGCCAAAACACAGCCCTGGCCGGCAGCGGCCGCGAGGGGGCCGTTGCCGCAGGCGGGCCCCGGCGTCGGTGCATCCCCCGGCGCTGCCGAGGCTCCGTGCGCAGAGGGCAGGGGTGCGCACCGCTGAGCCGCCCAGGCGTGGACCGACGAAATGCTGCAAGTGATCGACTCGCACCGCGGGGCCGTCCAAGTGGGCCGACTGGGCAATGCAAGTGACGGAAAGCGGGCGGGGTGGAGGTGGAGCAGCAGCAGCAGCAGCAGCAGCAGGACGACGGCAAGGCAGGAGGTGCGCGCAGAGGGGGGGAGGCGGGAGCGGAGGAGCGCGGGCAGAACGATGACAAGAGGGAGAGGGGAAACCAACAAGACTCGGGGATCTGCTGACCCAGGTAGGTCCATGCCTGGGTCAGTCAGGCAGGGCTCGACGTAAAGGATGTTTTCCGTTTTCGTTTTGTTTTCGTTTTCCCTCGTTTCGTACTCGTTCCGCCTCTGCGGCAAAACAAAATCAGAACGAAACTGGCCCACGAGATCGCCAAAGCACAGTTTGGGTCGAGCCCTGCAGTCGGGCCTCGCAGGATCCTACAGGATCCTGCAGGATCTTGCGCGCGGGCCCAGGCCAAAGCACACCCCCGAATCTGCAGGATCCCCAACAAAAATCCGGCGCTCTGGCGGATGAGGAGGAAGAGGAGGAGGAGGAGGAGGAGGAGGAGGGGAGGAGGAGGAGGAGGAGAGGAGGAGGAGGAGGAGGGAGGAGGCGGAGGAGGAGGAGGAGGAGGAGGAGGACCCCCGCCTGCATTTGGTCCACTCCCTCCAAGGGGCATGATCGGGCACCCGTGGGGGAAGCGGCAGCGTTCGGACTCGTTGCCCGAGGGGCGGCAGGGGAAGGAGGAGGAGGAGGAGGAGGAGGAGGAGGAGGAGGAGGAGGAGGAGGAGGAGGAGGAGGAGGAGGAGGGGGGGGGAAAGGAGGAGGAGGAGGAGGGGGAGGAGGGCAAGGAAAGTAGAGGAGGAGGAAAGGAGGAGGAGGAGAGGACGAGGAGGAGGAGGAGGAGGAGGAGGAGGAGGGAGGAGGAGGAGGAGGAGGAGGAGGAGAGTTAGGGGAGAGGAGGGGAAAGGAGGAGGCGGAGGAGGGGGCGGAGGAGGAGGAGGAGGAGGAGGAGGTAGGAGGAGGGAGGAGGAGGAGGAGGAGGAGGAGGAGGACCCCTGGTCCCCTGGCTCCCTGCGCCGATCGCGCGGTTCAGCAGCTCCATGCAGCCCTCCGCGTACACGCCGCCCTCTGAGACGGGGCCGCCGAGGACAGCCCGCACCACCCACTTGTAGGCGGTCGCGATGGGAGGGACGCCTGCGGCTGCCTCCCTGGCCCTTCCTCCGGTCGTGCTCGCCCTCTGCCCATCGTCCCCCGTCCACATTCCTCCCCCTCCATCCTGCCAGCTCCCCGCTCAATCCACCCTCGCCATCCACCCTCTCCCTCCAACATGTCCCGTGCCCCCCCTTTCCGTCCTGCACCCCTCCGCCGTGTTCCCCGTCCCTTCCGTCATCGTCCGGCTACTCCTCTCCCACCCTCCCTTCCACCACTGCCTCTCTGCCCTCCATGGCCCTTTTTCCCTTTACTGTGTCCTCAACCTATCATCCTCTTCCTCCAAAGGCCGCCATGGGGACGCACCGCGGGACGTGCCAAGGGGACGCGCTACGGAACGTGCTGGGGACAAGCGTTTCGCTCGAGACATCCTGTCAAAATCCTCATTCTAGACATCCGCCTGAGCGACCTGGACACGTGAAAACAAACGTTTCGCTCAACACATCCTCAACACATTCTCATGCTAGACATCCGCCTGGGCAAACTGGACACGTGAAAACAAGAAGTTCGCTCGAGACATCCTCAACACATCTTCATGTGAGACGTCCGCCTGGGTGACCTGGGCACGTGAAAACAAGCGTTTCGCTCGAGACGTTTTCAACACCTCCTCATTCTAGACATCCGCCTTGGCGACCTGTACACGTGAAAGCAAACGTCTCGCTCGAGACATCCTCAACACATCTTCATGTTAGACATCCGCCTGGGCGACCTGGACACGTGAAAACAAGCGTATCTCTCGAGACATTCTCAACACATCCTCATGCTAGGCATCCGCCTGGGCAACCTGGACACGTGCAAACAAGCATCTCGATCGAGACTTCCTCAACACCTCCTCATTCTAGACATCCGCCTGGGCGACGAGGACGCGTGAAACCAAGCGTCTCGCTCGAGACATCCTCAACAAATCCTGGCGCTTGACCTCTGTCTGGGCAACCTGGAGGCGTGAAACCAAGCGTCTCGCTCGAGACATCCTCAAGACCTGGGCACGTGAAACCAAGCATTTCACTGAAGATATCCTCTAAATTCTGGCCCCCAGGAGAGGACAACCTATAACACAAAGCAAGCGGTTCGCTCGAGACATCATCAACAAATTCTGAAAAACAAGCGTTTCGCTAGGGACATCCGCAAATGTTAATTCGTCGGCCCTACGCGACCTCGTTATCTATCGCAAAAGGAATTTGCCGGCCCTACAGCCGTCAGATCCGGGGGTAAACAGCTAAAAGAGAACCCTGGCCCTACGTAAGCCCTTTCCGGGAAAAACAAAAATTGGTCCAGACTATTTTCTACTATTCTTGAATACTCCTCCTGTAGAGTGACAAGCCCGACTTAAGACCAGCTCTCACTCCTGAGTCGCTTCTCGCTGGCCGCGGAGCCCAGGAACGGCCACCGAGCGGTCGCGAGGCACCCGCTTCCCTCGGGACCCCTGTCCACCATGCTGATGCTCACTTCCCCCAGAAGAGAGAGTGCCCCTCCACAGAGAGCTGGCAGCTCAAAGAGTGCCGATGCCTGGGCCCCGGAGGTCTGTCGGGAACGCACTGACTGGGTCAATGAATACCTGGGGTCGGGCCTTGCAGGATCCTTCAGGATCCTACAGGATCCTGCAGGATCCTGTACCCAAACCTGGGTCAGTGCGCCCCTGGCCCTGCATCTTCCTACAATATCCGGCGCTCTGGCTGACCTCCGTTTGCATTGACCCCCGTCGCTTGAGCCCCGAGTCTGGACCACTTCCCTGGGGCCGGTGCTTCATCCTGAGCCGTCCTCGAAGGCCCCGACGCCCGGCGAAGGCACCCCGAGGCCGAAAACGGCCAAAGCCAGCCGCCACGTTTTTCTTCGGATCGTCGGATCGCTGAGTCCCCCCCCCTCCTCCTCCTCCTCCTCCTCCTCCTCCTCCTCCTCCTCCTCCTCCTCCTCCTCCTTCTCATTTACCTCGCTCCTCCTCGCTCCTCCTCCTTCTCCTTTACCTCGCTCCTACTCCTCCTAATATTTATCCTCCTTCATCATCATCATCATCATCATCATCATCATCATCATCATCATCATCATCATCATCATCATCATCATCATCATCATCATCATCATCAGCATCATCATCATCATCATCAGCATCATCATCAGCATCATCATCATAATGATCATCATCATCATCAGCAGCATCGTCATTATCATCATCATCATCATCATCATCATCATCATCATCATCATCATCATCATCATCATCATCATCATCATCATCTTCATCTTCATCTTCATCTTCATCTTCATCTTCATCAGCATCATCATCACCATCATCATCATCGTCATCTTCATCATCATCAGCATCATCATCATCGTCATCATCATCATAAGCATCAGCATCAGCATCGTCATCACCATCATATTCCTCCTCCTCCTCCTCCTCCTCCTCCTCCTCCTCCTCCCTCCTCCTCCCTCCACCTCGTCCTCCTCCTCCTCCACTCTGATTATCCAGAACATCGACGTGTAAGAGAAGCGTCGTGGTAGAGTTGAATAAATGATGATGTAGAATTTTGTCGAGCAGAGGATGTGTACTGCGAACACCTCGGCTCAAGGAATGAAAAGTCCAGTTTGGTGGCGCGACATGTGCGATCCGACTTCAAGATAGATCCTCTTCCATATCCTGTCCGGCCAGCCATGGCGTTCTTTGGTCTTGTCCCGCTCCCTGGGGCCTGGCTTCGAAGTCTTGCTGGTCAGAGCGACGGCGTCACCGAGCCCGTGGAGGCAGACGGCTGGACTACGCTCCACGCCTCTCCCGACGACTGCAACAAACTCTAAGCCCCTCTTCGCTTCGGGAGGGGTACCCTCCCCTCCCTCTCTCGGAGGTTTTTTGTTTGGGGGGGGTCGCGTGTCTTCAGAGCGCCCAAGATGCCTCCGAGAGGGCCCCTGGATGCTCCAAGACGGCTCCTGGGATGGCTGAAGGTAACCAAAGATGGCTCAAGATGGCTTCCGACATGCCTCTAAGAAGCCCCCTCAGGACTTCCATGAGTGGCCAAATTCCTTGAAATACCATGCGACAACCAATCATTGTTGTCTTCTTGCCTTTTCGCTTCCGATGCAGCTTTGAAGCCTCAAGATGACCACAAGATGGCCCAAGAGAGTCCTCAAAGGGGTTTAAGAGGCCACCCCAAGACGGCCCCAAAACCACCCCCAAGGGCGCCCTTCAGGGCCCAAAGAGGACAGATTGATGGCTCCCGAGGAGGGAGGCAAACTTAGAAACCCTCCTCTTTTGCTCGACGCCCTCCAGGATGACCCCAAGAGGCCCTCAAAGGCTCCCAAGAGGCCTCCGAGAGGGCCCAAAGAGAGCCCAAAACCCTCCAAAAGAGCTCCGCGAGGCAACTTGCCCAGGCACCATGTCTGGATGGGCTGGTGAGGATGCGCGAAGCGCCAATAATAATAACAAGATGAAGCAAGAACTCAAACAACCACACTGTGTGAATGTAGGTATACGTGTACGCGTGTGTCTTTGTATGTACATGTGTATGCATGCATGTACGGATGCATGTGTATGCACGCACATCAAATATGCACGTATGTATTAATGGAAGTGTGCGTGCGTGCATGCATGCATGTATGTTTATTTGCGTGTGTGTGTTGTGTGTGTCTGTCTAGCCTGTCTGTCTGTATGTCTGTCTGCCTGTCCGTACGTGTACATGTAAGTATGCAGGCGTGTACGTATGCACATGTCCACGGGTGTGCGTACGTACGTACGTACGTAGGTACATACGTACGTGTGTACAAACGTATGTATGCACACATGCATGCATGCATGTATACATGTATGTGCGTGACTGGGTGGTATGTATGCATGTACGTATGGATGTATGCGTGTACAATGTATGTGTGTAAGTATGGATGTAAGTGTCATACGTGTTTGTGTGTGTATGCATGTATAGATGTACGAATACATGAATGTGTGTATGTAAGTATGCATACATGCATGCATGTATGTATGCACGTGTGTGTATGTATGTGTGTATGCTTGTATGCGCGTATGCGTATGTATATACGCGCGTACACAATAATATATGCATGCATGTCCGTGCGTAAGAACGTACGGACAAACGTATACATGTGTCCATGCATGTATGTATGTATGAGTGCAAGTATATGTGTATGAATCGATGTATGTGCATATATGCATGCATGCATGCATGCATGTGTGTTTGTATGTGTGGGTGCGTGTGCACGTGTGTATGTATGCATGCATGCATGCATGCATGCATGCATGCATGTATGTATGTATGTTTGTATGTGTATATATATACGTATACAGATATATGCAGGGGTGATTGTGCGTACACATGTTCGTTTGCACATGTGAACTTCTATATGTATATATATATGTATATTTATACAAATGTGACCGAGCGGTGTTCATGTATACCTATATATATAGAGAGAGAGAGAGAGAGAGAGACAGACAGACAGACAGAGAGAGAGAGAGAAAGAGAGACAAACAAATAAATAAGAACAAAAAAGGAAGAGGCCATAACATACTTACTAACCTCGGGGACCGCTCACGCGGGGGGGGGGCGCGGGCGTCCTGCCGCCACCATGCGCTCGAACCACCTGCTGGGGCGCGGAGCCCCGCCGCTCGTTGCACGACGACGAAGACGGCCGCTCTGCTCGGGGGCTGCTCTTTGCCAGCTTCTGCCCCTCAGATTAGGTCGGGCCTGTCCCCCTACAGGGGGATTTCGGGCGTTTTTTTTGTTTTTTTGTTTTTTTTTGTTTTTGTTTTTTTGTTATATATATATATATATATAAAACAATGATAATACTCAAAGGATTATGAACAAATATTCAAGAGTAGACAAAACATCGTCTCCAGACTATGTTTTCGCAATCTTCGAATATTTCTCCTGTAGAGGGACATGCCCGACTTCAGGCCGCAACACTTCCAAGGGAAACGGCCAGGTTCGAGGTTCGAGGGGGATGAGGAGGAGGAGGAGGAGGAGGAGGAGGAGGAGGAGGAGGAGGAGGGAGGAGGAGGAGGAGGAGGAGGACCTCCGGCGCCGCCTCTGGCGCGATCTGCGCGCCGGGGAGGGGGGTCCAGCGCCAATCCAGGACATCCGCGCAGACCTCCGAAGGTTTTCGAGGTCCTGCGCAGTGCACGTTTATGACATGTGTTCCTCCTCGAAGGTTCGAGGATCGAGGTCTTCGGGCGTATTGGTCGACTCTCGAGGTGATTAACCGAGGACCCCGAACCCTTTGGGAGGGGACCTGAGTTACGAGGGCCCAAACATCAGGGACAGGGGCTCAGTTCTGCAGATGTATCGAGCCAAACCGCCCAGATGCGTTATCCATAATGCAAAGACGGGGGCCCCAGGGAGGTCACGTCTTCACTTCGGCGATGGACAGAACCCCTGTAGTAAAACGTGGTTTGGTGAAAACGACCTCGGGCCCAAACCTGGCGGGAATGTGCTGTGAGGGTTTAAGATTTTGGCGGCGCGCACAAGGGGGTGGAGGGAGGGGGGAGTGCTTCTTAGAGGGAGGCCGCTTCTTAGAAGGCGCCGGCTTTGCACCTGCAGATCAGGCCCGCGCCTTCTAAGAAGCAGGGGTGCTTCTAAGAAGCCCTCCCCCCTCCCTCCCCCCACCCCCCTTCTGCGCGTGGCTGAAGATTAGTTTGTTCTCGATGACGGTGGTTTTCCAGCCTCGCGGTGCGCTCCAGCAGCTGCGCCTCGCAGTGAGCGCTCCAGGCGGGGCCGCCCGCGCCGCCCGCGCGGCAGCCGGAGGCCCGCGTTGTGACCCAGAGCCGCCAGTCGGCGGTGGACAAACCTCCCTTTAGTAGACCTCCCCTTAGTGAAAACGGCCTGGGACCGAAACCGACGGACCTGGACCCGCAAAAATGACGGCCGCGACGCCCTCTCGCGAACCGAAAACGGCCAATTCCTTAATCGACATGTCAGGGTAGGAGGTCTGTCCACCCCCGAGCCAGGGGGGGACGGGCTCCGGGGACAAGCATGGAGCCAGAATCGGCGGTGCGTCGCCGTCAGATCGGCGATACGGTCAACCCGGATAGTAAGGATGCGCGATAAGGAGGCAAGGGCCTTGGACGCCCATTTCGAAGCGCTTCGAGCGGGGCGCGGCCAACAGAAGTGTCCAAGGATGGACCCCGGAGGAAAGGATGCGAGGGTACCCTTGGGAGGGATGCCTATCCTTACTATGCGGGTCGACTGTAGTAGGGGAACGAGCAGTGACGTAAAGCATACAACTCGGAGGTCCGCGCGGATGTCTCGGATCCGCGCTCGGCCCCCCCCGGCGGCGCCTCCGACGCTTCGCCCCTGGAGCGCGCCGCGCGCCACGGAGGGTGGCTTAGCGCGGATCCAGGAAATCCGCGCGGACCTCCGAGCTTGTATGCTTACGTAACCTTTCGCTCCCCAGCGATCGGCCCCCCATGCATGCGGGCAATACTTCTGTCTGCATCCGCTGCAGTATGGAGTTTCGGGCCCCCTTCCCAAGCAACCCGAGGCGCACCGGATATGGATAAATTTGCCCCCCTATAGAGGCTCGATGTTTATCCATATCCAGTGCGCCTCGGCCTTGTGGCGCCGCTTCCAAAAAAACGTCCAAGAGGCACCGGATATGGACACGAATCTTGCCCGCAGTGCAGTCGGACTTGGGCCAGAAGAGCATCCATCAAGAGCACGAGGTCCTCCGTCGGCCGGAGCAGACCGAACATCCAGGGGTACCCTCCCCGGGGTGCACAGGAGCAGCCACCAAGCACGAAGAACACCAGGGTGCCCCCCCCCCCAAGAAACGGGCTGGATCGTACTGACGCCTCGGCCCGGCCGTAACGAATCCGCACGACCCTGGACGAGGTGGGTGGGCGTCTTCTGTTTCGGGGTTTCGACCTTGGGCGGAAGAGGGAGGGAGGGGGAGGGAGGGGGGTCCGGCTCCAGACCTCTGCTTAATGCGACTGTTTGGAACCGTGCGTCAATGGGGGTGACGTACCATGTGGACCTGCTCTAGAACAGGAACATACCGTAGACGGATCTACCCCTCCTCCGGCCTTCGACCGCGCCGAACGCAACGGCCACGTTGTCCATAGACGTATCCACCCCGAAAGTGTCTATGGACGTCGTGGCAACCCATGTGTCCACAGATGCATTTGGCTAGTACGCGAGAGGGGTATTTGGCATCGGCCCCAGGTGTTGGTCCTCTAGAAGCAAACAAGCTTTGCCCTCCAACTCTGGGGAGGGGGGGTCGTTGACCCGCGCCGATCGGCGCAACGATAGGGACGAAGCAAGGACCGACCACAACGATGCATGAAACGAAATCTCATGTACAACGAACAGCGAAGCGAGGCCCAACGTTCAAAACGAAGGTTTGAGCGAAGTCGGTG